AATATACCTTTTAAATTCTGATTCCAATGTCCGATTTGGGCATATAATCAATGCTTAATTCCGAAAAGCGGTAAATCTACAGCATAAAAATTGATGCAGATTTTACCGCTATTCTTTTTGCCAGGAACTGTACATATTATATAACATCTAATAATTACTAAAAATAGATAAATTATATACAAAAAAAATAATTTTATATAATAAATTGTTATGATTTTCTTAATTTAATAATTAATATTAACTTGTGCAATAATTTTTAATTTGGATTTACTATACTATTCGCTATAATATTTTATATATTTATAAAAAATTTTTAATTTATAAAAATAAATCAGAAAAGAATTTAAAGTAAAAAAGCAGATAATTTACCTGCAAATCCTTATAATTTAAGGGATAATATTTCATAATAAGATTATTTTGATGAAAATAATACTTATTTTAAAAGAACCATTATTAAGTCATAAGATTATATTATATTGAAAGTATGATAATATAGGGATAAATTTTAATTTGCATTATTAGCATGTCTCAAATCATATTAAAAATTTTTTTTTTTTAGCTTTATATTAAAATTAAAATTATTCATTAAGTAAAAATTTAAGAGTTAAATACAAATAAATTTTGAAATAATGAAGCTGTAATAATATTAAAGAAGGTTTCTTTATGAACTTGATTTGATAAAAAAGGTCAATGATTCTAATAATATGATTAATCAGATAATATGTAGATTACAAATTATTGTGTTATAAAATAAATAAAGTAATCATCAATTATTATAAACATTATGTATTCTTTCTAAATTAGTCTTGATAATTTGTAATACTATTATTATTGTAATAAATCAGTGATTGGAATTGATTCTATCAAAATCAAATTTACTGAAAATTTGAATTAGAATTGATTAATTAAAAATCAAATAAAAAAATTGAATATATTTTAGTAGCATAGTAAATGTAGCAAAAAGAACTAAGCATAAAATTAAATGATACTTTGCTTATTTGAGAAAAAAAGAAGATAAAAAATAAAGTAAATGATTTGAAAAAATAAATAATAAAAATTATAAAAAAATAAAAATAAAAAATTTAACTAAAAAAACATTTATCATAGATATCTAATATTTTTTATTTTATTTTGATTATTAGATTATATCTAATGATTTCTGAAAAAATCAACCTGAATTGTAGAATAAAGATAATAATAAAATCAAAAAATAATCCCTAATTCTGATAAAATTATGATCAAATATCATTTTTCCATAAAATAAATAATCGATTAACCAAAATTGAAAATCGAATCTTATAATCGATTAATCGATTTTTTAATCAATAGAATTAATTCCAATTCCTATTGTTGCAATAAAAAAAGTAGTGATAATGTTAAATTTACAATTATACATTACGTTCTGTCTCAATCTGGCGTATTGCACAAGGAAACTTTTTTTGACAATTTTTTTTTATATATTTCATTTAACGAATTATGTAATTGGCCTAAATTAATGGTCTTTAAAATTTATTGAAATATACGGAAATAAAAAATTATCCATCATTAAAAATTTCTATTAACTAATAAATTTTTATAATCTTTTATTTACATGATAAAAATAAATATACGTTGCGTTGACCTTTTAAAAACATTAAATAAAAATATATATATTAGGTATCTGGTAAAATTCCGGCTAGACGTCATTGAATATAATTGTATTCTAACAACCCGTAATTAATAACTTTTAATTGAATATTAAAATTATAATTACACGCCAACGACTTAAGATAATCAAAAGTTTACTCTTTTGAGTATTAGAAACTATTTTTCAATCTTAATAAATTTTCCTATTCGAGAAAATATACAGGTAAAAATCAATATTGATTTGAAATACAAATACAAAAATGTTATTATATGTATATATATTTACTTACTATGTTCTTGAGTTTCAATTAATTCTCCAATACTACGCTTAAATGAAGAATTTGTAATCAGAATAGGACTTGATTTTTTAGTATGGATTGAAATTGTACTTATAGTAGTACTTTTGATTGTAATATTCACGGTTGAACTAAAATAAATTAAAAATTTATTAATCAAAAAAAAAAATAAATTCAGAATTTAAATATATTTTAAAACCATATATTATTTTTTAATTCTATATCATACCATTTTATTTTATATTCTAATAGTATAGAAAAGATAAAGTTAATAATATCTTTAATAGACTTTAAAGATCATTTACTAGTGATAATATTACCTGGAGTAAGATTTGAACTTTTAGATATACACGTTCTAGAGGTAAAAATCGCTTTTGGATGTTTGTCAATAGATTTAGATGCAATTTTCTTTAATAGTACTGATTCTAATCTCCTTTCTTCAGCCAGAAAGAATTGCTCTACACATTCATTTTCAGAATACCAATCACTAAAAGTTTCACGGATTTCAGTTATAGAAGGTCTTTTCGTGGGATCAAGATCCCAACACTTTTTCATTAAACTAGCAAAACATTCGGGGGTATCATCTGTAATTTCAGGTCGTTTTCCATCAATGATTTTAACATTTAGTCTATGAGTATATTCGGAATTAGCAAAAGGTCTACATCCTGATGTAAGTTCCCACATAATCATACCCATACTATAAATATCGGCCGCTTGTGAAAATGAACCGCCATTGAGTATTTCCGGCGCAATATAAGGTATTATTCCATATATTTTATCATTTGATGTAATATTACTTACAGGTCGTGATAAACCTAAATCTCCAATTAGCCATTGCCCATTTTGCCATTTACGATAAGATTTGACTAATAGTATATTTCCACTATGAAAGTCATGATGTACAAAATCTGCTTTGTGAATGATTTCAAGTCTATATAATAATAGAATATAATAATCAATAATAATTAGTTATAAATATTAATATATTAAGAAGTATAATTACCCAAAAGAAATTTGCCATAAGATATTTAACTTATCCTTCCATGTAATTCCCGAAAATCTATTTTTTAAATAGTCATGCAAGCTTCCGCCATCTGCAAAATTCATCACTATCATATATTCATTCGTTTTGGGATTTTTTGTAATTCCATAACATCTTATTATACGTTCATTTTCATAACACCTATGATTGGATTGTACCTAAATTTAAAGTTGGCAAAAGATCTTTAAAAGATGTTATACATACTTATTTTAATAATTTTTAATTAAATTACCTCTCTTAATACTTCCTTGTTAATCTGTCGTTTAAATGTTTTGACGGCGACTGTCTCATTTCCTTTTCTATAACAAGATGAATATTTATTACCATTTATTCCACCATCTATCCAAGTTGCTTTATAAATCGTACCAAACCCTCCATTCGCAACTTCTTCTAAATCTTTAATTCGAGGATATGATATCCATTCCAATACCGCTTCTGGATTAAAATTTATATATATTTTTTCTTTAAGAAAATTATAAACATTTAATGGATCATCATCATATTTATCGATATCTTCCATCTTGCAAATATCAATTATATTTCTTGTACTATAAAGAAAATCATCAATAATATTATTTCCGATATTTAAATTCGTTTTCTTCATAATAATGCGCATTTCTCTTTTGCATTTATTACATTTTGATTGATCAATATACCCAAAGATAATATTTGTCGTTAGACAATATCTACAACCGCTATATATTATAAAGCAATGCGGACACCATTTCTGATTATTATATTCATCTATTAGTTCTACTTTACATATTATACACATGTTAGATGTATCCCACCAAGGCAAATAAAGAATTGGAATTGCTTTATTCGACAATGTTGAATTTTCACATCCAAAAGAAACTTGATAACAATCTGAGCATAGCAAAAACTTGGTTTCAATAGAAATCACTTTATAAATTGATTTTCTGCAAATTGAACAATACTTTATACTTTCAGTTATTGTATTATTTTCCTCATTGTCGTCATAGTAAGCTAAAGAATTTGTAAATATCTGTCTAAAATGTGATATCCTTGAGCACTCTTTACACCATTCCCTAATATCTCGTGTACAAAATTCTTTATTTCTAATTGTTTCGTGTACATAACATTTGGTAAACGTACTTATATGTACGTCTAAGTATGTATGAATATCGATTGTCTCAGTAATATAACGTAATAAACATTTTTCACAATATTTTTGTTCAAATAAAATGGTCTCCGTATATGTACTTCCACAATGGAAACAATATTCTCTATTTATGTTGAATGGAACAAATACAACCTGCTTTGGACTGGATCTTAGATTTGATGATGTTTGGTCACTTTTATTTGTGGACTCCATTGTAATTTTAAAAACATGAATTTGGAAGATTTATTTGCTTCAATGTTGTACAATTAGGAATTCTGTCAACTACTTCCAAATATGCATGTTGTGGATCTTAAAATCGTCGATCGTCGTTTTGGCGTAACGTGTAGAATATCAAAATGATAGCGTTGGAATTTTAAATTATTAATCTAATTAGAAATTTTAAAAAAATAATAGACTTCCTAAAGAAATACATCCCTCCTATTTAAATTTCAGCGATGTTAGAAGTTATTTAAATTTTATATGCTAAAATCATTAAACAGTTGTGTAATTTTGATCTAATCTCTTTCTGCCATAACTTTTAATCAGCACAACATTAATATTTTTTATTTTTTAATCAAATGGGACCTTTGCATAGAAATGGAGGAAACTGCCGGGAAAAATAAAAAATGAGTTAATGCTAAATTTTCAACCTTAAAAATCATATTGTCATATAAAAGTACAATTGATTTTTCCCGGCAGTTCCCACTTTTCTATTGCAAAGGTCCATATAATAAAGTAATTTTCAAAAAACTGTAGAATTGAATTTGCTAATTACAAAAAAAAAAAATTTATTAATATATTATTTGTATCTGACTTTTTATAAAATTATGAAAAAATTGGACCAATATTTATAAGTTATTGTGCTTGCTTTCATTATTTTATCAACACACTTTATAAATCTGATGCAAAACTTTATTTTTCAAGTCAATTTTATACTTTAGGTTAAGAAAAATCATACCCAACATTTTTTGATGCTTTAAGCAATTTTTTTATGGTTCTCTAATAATCCAAATGCTGGTAATAAAATTTTTGCATAGCAATAGCAATAGTGGGATACCATGCTTTAATATAATTATATTAAAGCGTAGTATCCCACTTAGGCTAAGTCATATAAGTAATTTCATAATCTGAAAATCACGCTATAATCTAATAAGTAATTTCATAATCTAAATATTATGCTGTAATCTAATGGTTATCTCTTAGACTGTATAGTAGGCAAATTTGCCTGTGAAATTAAAAAAAGTGTTAATTTCTTTATAAAATATTAAATATTAATTTTAGTAATATCATTACTATATAAAAAATAAAGTTTAATATATTTTTTATCAACTTTATTAACAA